GCAATTGTGCCATGTGGGGCTCACTCGAGGAACCACAAGATGGCTTGGAGTAGTTGGAAAAGGCTTGTGCCAGAGGCTGCTAGCTGCCTGCTCCCTATCAATTCTTCCATTTTCCCTTGTAACACAGCCTGTATTTTCCTTGGCGTGGCCACACACCCAGATTCAATATTATGCGTCCAGCCTCACTGTGGCTGGAGGTGGTTTATGAGATACCCACAGAAGACAGGCTTCTAGGAAAGTGCCTTTAACTGCGGACACCACTCGCTCTTCTTCCCATTCTTGTAACTCCTGCCTGCAACGTGAGCCCGAGGCTACGTGGGACCAGGAGGCAGCCGGGGCACAGAGGAGCAGGATGATCAGAAAGCCTGAGCTGGGCACACCATGGAGTCCCACACTCACCCTCTACCGCTCACCTCTGGAGTGCTTGCACGTGCAGAAATGCACCTCTTATCTTGGTTAAGCCACTTTTTCAGGGGGTTTTGTCATACGCAGCAAACCAATACCAGGTTCTGTGGAAAAGCCAGGCCTTAAAGGAAAGGTTGGTGTCAGGACTGGGGAAGAGGAGGTGGGAGGGATTCTCGGGCACCAGAGGAGCACAGGACAGGACCCTGGCAGGAAGGCACCTTGGCCGCCAGCATGTCAGGGGAGAGAGGGCTTGGTGGGGGCAGGCCCAGGGACCACAAAGGAGCAACACAGCTGCTCTCCCAGAGGATCCGTGGGGAGAGGAGGGGAGGGTGCTTGGGAACTTCATGACGGGAAGAGAGGCCAACACGAGTGGCGGTCTGCTCCTCCGACTGGGGGTTCCTGGGCCTGGAACAGTAGCAGGCCTCACGCTGTCTGGGACGCGCTCCACACCGTGCACCTGCAGCATTACCTCATTCAGGTGTCACACCAGGTCTGTGAGACAGTCGTGTTTTCCCCCATTCTGCACATCAGGAACCTGAGGCACACAGAGGGGCGCTAAGTCACCCTGCAGAAGCCTCACAGGCTGCAGGCTGAGTGAGACCAAGCCCCTTTGCAGGGAAGGAAAACACTCGCATGAGTATTTCAAAGCCTGGAGAAAGGAGAAAGGCCCTGACTTTACAACATAAAGACCCATAGCCAAATGCAAAGTCTATGGCCTTGGGGATTAACCAGAAGACAACCAAAAGGAGACCATGGGGACAGAGTATTTTTTCAGGCGCCAGTGTTGCAGCGCAACCAGTTAAGCCGCCACCTGCGATAACACCGCATCCCATACTGGAGTGGGGGTTCCAGTCCCAGCTGCTCTGCTTCCCATCCAGCGCCCTGCTAATGAGCCTGGGAAGGCAGCAGAAGGTAGCCAAAGTGCTTGGGCCCCTGTCACCCACGTGGGAGACCCGGACGGAGTTCCTGGCTCCCAGCTTTGGCCTGGCCCAGCCTGTGATGTTGAGGCCATTTGGGGAGTGAACCAGCAGATGGAAGAGCTCCCTCTGTATCACTCTGCCTTTCAAATAAAAAAAAGAAATTAAAAAAAATAGACTTGGTTGCATTTACTACGTGTACAGGAGGGAGGAATTGTTAAACAAACCCACTTGCTACCCTCTGGCAAGCCATAAAGCGGTCACGAGGTGCAGATGGTGGGAGGGTGGTGGGGGAGGGGAAGGAAGGCAAACACTGAAGAGCAAAATCAGCTCCAGTTACAGAGGAACCACAGCAAAGCTCCGGCTTGTATGTCTCAAATCGTTTTTTAATCTCTCTCCACAACAGGGTTTGAGAAATAATTATTCTATCACAATGAAGGTTTAAAATTCAATACTTTGAGTTAAGCTATTCCGTCACATCCACCGGGCACAAGGAATTCTTCCTGGAGCAGCGATCTCATTATCACTGACCGGAAGGTGAAAATAAATCCGCCAGGTTACAAATGACCCAGGTAACATGAGTACGCAGTTGGAAATGCATTTCCCATGAAGATGAAAATAAAATTCTCCTGGCAGCCTGGCACAACCTGACGGTGGGGCCTCCCAAGGAGAGAAACCTGGCATCCTACGTCTGACTCAGGACAGTTCCACAGGCTGGAAGCTCACAGGGTCGGCTTTGCAGACTGACCCGAGTCCACCACATGCTAACACGCATCACCTTGGACAAGTTCCTTTACCCCTCTGAGTCTCAGCACCTGCACCTGCGAGACAGCATGAAGGGCAGGCATTTGGCATAGAGGCTAAGAGGCTGCTGGGGAGGACTGAATCCCATCTTGGAGTGCCTGGTTTGAGTGTTGGCTCTTCTTCTGATTCCAGCTTCCTGCTCATATGTACCCTGGGAGGCAGCACAGGAGGCTCAAGTATCTGTGTCCCTGCCACTCATGTGGGAGACCTGATGAAGTCCCGGGCTCCTGGCCACAGCCTGGGCCAGCTCCAACTATTATAGGGATTTGGGGGAATAAACCAGCAGATGGGATCTCTTCGGATCTCTCTCTTTCTCTCTGTTGATCTACCTTTCAGATAAAAAATAAACAAAACTTTAAAAGTCAAATGTATTAACTCAAAGGAATGACACAAAAGCCAGGAAAAGATGCTGTAAGGTTGCAGGAGACGATCTGCTGCTGCTGTCACTGTGGCTGTGACAGGACTCACATCTTCAGTGTTCTCTGCTCCAAATCTCAGGAAAGAGGTCACACAAAGCAGCCTAGCTTCAGAGACCACAGTGCTAGTCAATGTTTTCAAGCCTTTTGCCCAAACCATAGCAAGAAATACACTCTGCATCAGCACCCAGTGTACACACACACACACACACACACGTAGCTGTGACTGAAGCTTTAACACTGAAGAATACCATTTTGCACTCTGATATTTCCTCTTCTCTCCATCCCACTAAAAAAGGTACCATTCAGCAGATATTTGTGGAACACTGCATATGCATTAGACACTGCTTGTAGGTGTTGAGGCCACGTCGGTGAATGAGACAGACAAAAGTCTCTCATCTCCTGGAGCTTGCATTTTACTGGAAAGAGAGTGAATCATGCTCCGAGATGATAGTGTGTGACATTGTATTCTGCAGTGCACATGGAGAAAAAGAAAGCAGTGCAGGCCGGGGGGGGAGGGGCACAGAAAGCCTCAGAAGGCCTTCCCTGCCAGCTGCGCTGATCTAGGGGGGGCAGTCAGCCTCTGCATGAAGACCCCTGCCCAGAATCACCCCACTCCAGGTCTCCCTGTGTGTACACTGCCTGTCCACTCCCACTCACTTCCTCCCTGAGGAGGACTTGGAGACAGGAGGCAGGGCTCCGATATGCACCTGTGCAGGGGTTCCCTACACAAGCTGGCCCTGCAGAGGGGGCCTGAAGTACAGCTTAGGTACCACTGGCCAGAGCCACGGGTGTCAGCCGTGTGCCCTGGCTATAGTCTTTAGTCCAGAGGAAGGAAAACCGCTGGCACACCCAACCCCTTAGCTCAGGGGCAGTGCTGGCCCACAATCTGCATGAAGGCACCCTATGTGCTCGGGTTCCACTGATGGAGAGGAGGCCATGCACAGAAGTAAAAATTATGCCCTGGGGAAAACACAGAGCACTGGGCACACCTGGCAGGTGACTGATGTGGGCCTCTGGGGAGATGGCATTGCAGCCAGCTCTACCACTTGGGTAGCTTCCACCGAGGGCATCTCGAACTTGGCACGGGAGCAAAGCCTTCAGGCGCCTGCTTTAAGTTAAAGAGGCACATAAAAATGCTACTAGCATGGCAGCAAAGGCACTACCTATGGGAGCGGCAGCCAATCTCTGCTAATGAATAAGTGTAATTGATCAAAACAGATGACTCAGAGGACCTTCCAAATGTGCTACTTTAGCAAAGTGGGCAGTTTTTCATTCAAATGCAAACTCGTCCAGATCAGATCTAATAATGGAAATTTTGGAATAATCCCAGCACCAGTGATCTCTCTCTCTCTCTCTCTCTCTCTCTCTCTCTCTTTTGCTCTCGCTCTTGCTCTCCCTCCCTCCCTCCTTCACTGAGCAAGAAGGCATCTGAGGTTCCAGGCTGCAGCTTCACCCAACCAGACACTAACATATGCTGTCCATGTGGCTGAGGGATCTCGGATGGGCCCCAGATGCAGCAAAGGCACAACCCCAGGCCACCCCACAACCCCTGCCTGACCCTGCTCCTCAGCCGCACTTCCACTCCTCACCTTGGGAAGAGCTGCGTGGACTTAGAACACGATCACCCACTGACCTGGGCAAGCTCACTGAGCACTGACTACCTGCAAGGTACCTGGAGACCACCTCCAGGGGATTTAAGGCTGCCTAAGACGGGCCCTGCCCCCAGAAAGGACTTTAGATGTGAAGGCCGAGAGCAGCTGGCAGAGGCGCCGGGCCAGGTCTCAGCTCCCCGACATGCCCGGAGCTTCAGTTTCCTCCTTTATCAGATGGAGGCACCTGGACTAGGCATGATCTCAGGGCACCGGGCCAGCTGAAAACAACAGGATCCCAAGCCTCCCAGGCAGCCAGCTGAGGGGTGCAGCTTTCTAGGAAGGGGAGAGTGGGCAGAAGGGAGATGTGGGGGTGGGGTGAGGACCCTATCCCTTTCTGGAGGGAAAGGCTGTTACATTTAAGCCTCAGCACATGGCACAGGCTGGAGATGACAAGTTCAGAAAATTAAGTGGAGGATTTAGACTTGCACACCAAAGAATGTGGGGGCAGTGTGGGGGCACTGGGGCTTGTGTAGAGAAGGATGCTCTCTGAGCACACCTGCGGAGGGTGGCTTGGAGGGGTGGCACCGTGAGGGACATCGCAATAGAAGCCTGAAGTGAAAGGTTTTCCGCATCTGACCCTGCGGCGGCCACACTCCCAACGTTACCTCCATCAACTCGCCCAAGCCCCAAATCACTCCGCACTTTTTAGAGTGGCTTCAAGGTAAACAGGTGAATCTCAACCCCCTTCCTCCCAGGCGCTAAAGAGCAAACAGGACAACCTAGGTCTACCAAGCGGGGGGTGCTGGAAGGGTCACCAGCCCGGGCAGTGTGCGGGGCAGGGGTCTAGAACCGGACGCGCCTACCTGCAGAGGAGCCGTCCTCGTGGTCCGAGCTGTTGCGACTGCCGTCGCTGCCCCTCTCAGGCGAGCTGTGGCTGGGTGAATCCCGCTCGGGCACCCGCAGGAACCTCTTGCGTCGCCACGGGGGCAGGTGCTCGCGGGCCCCGCGTCTAAGGGGCTCATCCTCGGCTAGAGGTGAGCCCCGGCAGTCCTTGGTCTCCGCCTCCGCCTGCTCCTGGTCGCGGCTTTGGCGCTGCTGCCGCCGGCCCCCGGGGATCAGGTGCATCCAGCGGTGGGGGCTGCACGCCCGTGCCCGCTTCTCGGCCTCCTCGCGGGTACCGAAACGGCAAGGGGCCATGAGCAAGTGGCCGAGGACAAATTTCTCGTTCAAATCTACCATCTCGAAGTCGTGGTCACTGCTGTCTCCCCACTCGTCAGCGCCCGAAGCGTCCGGCTCGCCCTCCTCCGAGCCCCGCCCCGCGCTGCTGCCCGAGGACCGCTGCTCTCCAGGGGCGCCCGCACCCGAGCCATCGTGGCCGGGGGACGCGCTGTCCTCCCGCGGTTGGAACAGCAAGCGAGGCTGCAGCAGCTGCTGGTGGATGGCGGCGGTCAAGCTGCGCACCGCGCCCCCAGCGCCAGCCGCCCCGGGCCAGGCGGGGAGGTCCGGGAACGCGCGTGGGAGCGCCTCGGGCGGCGCCGCCACCTCAGGGTCCGCGCGCGCAGGGCCTTGGGGTCCTCCGCCGCAGCGTGCTGCGCCCTCCTCCTCCTCCTCGCGCGGCTCGGGCTCCAGCTCTGGCGCCTGCCCGGCTGGCTCTGGCTCTGGTTCCTCGGCCGGGGCGCCCCCGCTGCCACCCGCCGCGCGCTCACAGCCGAGGTCCGGCGTCTCCCCGGCCAGGGCGGCCTGCAGGTAGGAGACTTTGAACTTCTCCTCAGCCAACACCTGTTGCAGCCGCTTCAGGTTGAGTTTGCAGCGCTCCAGCTCCCGCTCCATGTCCAGGACCGAGTCCAGCTTCATGACTGGTGCCTCCTCCCCGGGGAACTCGGCCTGCCAGTGGCGCGCGAATTCCTGCGGGTCCCACATGCCTGGCGCCCCGTCGGGCCTCCGGGGCCGGGTCCTGAGCGCCTGCCCTTCGCCTCAGCCGCTGAAGAGAAAACGACAAAAAAAAAATAAAGTTTTTCCCCTTCCGCTCCAGTGCCTTTTTTTTTTTTTCCTCTTCTGCTTCTGGTTTTTGCCTCCCTGACGTCAGCAGCCACCCGCGGCTGAGGCGGACGCCCGGTGGCCCTGCGGCGGCCCCCCGGGCTGGACGCGGAGTCTGCAGGCTGCAAGCCCCGCCGCCGTGCCAGGCGCCCCCTGGGCTGGGGCGTGCGGAGAGCCGCGGCGGGGCCGGCTCTTAGTTTCCCTGCTCCGCGGACTGCGCAGCTCCGGCAGCAGCTCGAGGTCCGGCCCGCAGTTCCCTGCAGCCCAGCGCGGGGCGCGCGGCCGGCAGGAGGCGGGAGCCCCGGCGAGGGAGCGCGCGGGGGCGTCCTGGACCTGAGCCAAGCTCCCGCTACCGGCTCGCCGCAGCCTCGCCTGGCCGGGCCCAGCGCCGCGCCCTGGACCGATGGGGAGAGGCAGGCGAAAGGACAGGTGTGGGACCTGCGGCTTTGCGCGTGGCCTGGGCGGGGACTTGCTGAGCGCCGTGAACTGACAAGTCCACGGCTGCAAAGCACTTTCATCCACAGCTGCGGACAAAATTCGGGTGTTTTGCTTGTGTGGTCCCTTTAAACGTTTGTTCTGCCGCCTGCTCGCTGGAGCTTTTCCGGGAGAGCCACCGGCATAAGCGACCTCCAGGCTAAGGGATCGCCTGTGACTGAACTAAACCCCGGCCCGGGCGGCCTAGACCCAGGAGAGGCCCCGCACACCGCCGCTTCTGCACCCCACTCTGCTCTTCCCAGGGTTCTGGGTGAGCTCCCCCGGCCGGCCGAGAAGCCCTGCGCCTCCCGCGCCTGCTGAGAGAGGGGGCGGGGACCTTATCAGTGATTCGCGGTTCCCTCATTCTCAGGAGGAGGAAATTGATACTCCGACAGGCTGAGAGACTTGGCAGCCGGAAGTCCTTCCTTTGCCAGTGTCCTCTGGGGGCTGGGGCACAACTCGATAACCCCCAGAGCCCCTGGCCCTCAGCGCTCCCCTCAAGCCGCGCATCAGCCATCCGGCCCCCCACTTTTCAATTCCCTTCATGCCAACCTCTAAGGTTGCAAGGAAGATGTTTCTTCACTGGACAGAGACGGCAGGGTGGAGTCCAGACCCCTGGGGTGACTTGGGGGATCCGCAGGAGGTCTCTGCCTGCCTGCCTTCTGCCTTCCCCTTAGGCTTTAGCCTTACCGACTCCCTGAGGTCCCCAGAGACCTGGCACCTGTTCTGCTTCCTTGAATTCTTGCTTCCCCTACAAACACACCGAGCTCCCTGCTGTCTGGGGTCTCAGCCCCAGAAGCGACTTTCAGCTCCTCCCCATCTTGTTTGCATCCTCACTGGGTCTTGTAGCTGCCTGTATCACTTTTTCTCTTGTTCCACTTTTTTTGGTTATTACTGATGACTTGTTTCTCTTGCTCTTAAGACTCCCTCAAGGACAGTTACTCTATTCCATTTTTGTATTCCAGCTGCTCCCTGCAGAGTGGGGTATAGACATGAGTGGTTTTTTGAAAGTTTTATTTATTGGAGAGATACATAAGAGTTCCCATCCATTGGTTCACTCTTCCCAAACACTGGCAACCACAGGCTAGGAGCCAAGAACTCCATCCAGTCTCCCACATGGGTGGCAGGGACCCAACTACTAGAGCCATTGTCGCTGCCTCCCACAGCCTGCATTAACAGGTAGCTGGCGTTGAGAGCTGGAAATTGAACCTAGGCTGCTCAGGGTGGGACACCTGGCATCTTCACTGCGAGGCCAAGTGCCCACCCTAATGACAACAGTTGAAGGAATTCCTCACATGGGTGAATGAGCAGACGTAAATGAATCCCATTCCTTGGCTTCCCCCATTGTGAATCACTCCGGACTGTGGCACAAGTGCTTTCCATGAGGCTTCTCAACTCTGGAAGTTTCTTGCCAAAGTCTGTGCTTACTACATGTTACTAACACCCCTTCTTCCTTCTCGTCTGCTTTTTTTTTTTTTTTTCCAATTCCGTGTGCCACTGGCATGAATCATCAGCGCTTGTCTTCATGCCAGACTGCTGTGGGGAACGGATCGTTTTTAAAATCCACAACTTCTGCATTCCCTAGTCTGAGTGATTCTCAACCCTCCACCCAGCTCCTCAGCTGGCTTTCCCTCCCACTCAGCTTCATCCGATGTGTCCCCAGAGGCCACCAGAGTCTCATCTGTCCCGATGCCTACAACCAACCAGTGTGGGTTGCTCTGTCCAAGTCCACAGGCACTTTGGCCTCTGTGTGATGGATGACCCCGGGCCACTGCGTATCGATTGCACGATCTTTCAGTATGGGTATTTAAATGCACAAAGAGAAAGAAAATTATATGTTACTATAAACATCAATTTCAGAATGTGTAAGTTCCCTGAGAGGATAGTTTCAACTCTGTCCTTTAATTAAAGCCATAGCGCGATTCCCTTCTGGCCAAAAGAAGTTGTTACCAAAACCACTAATTTTTTCCACCAGGACCAATATAGCTGGAAATGCCGGCATACATCTCTGTAAACAGATCCCGAGAGCCGCTTTGTTGTGCCTGGCTGGTGGATAGCTCAGCTTTATTGCTGGGCTCCGGGTTATTGTGGGGGCAGGGGTGGGGTGGCTGACATTTATTGAGTCCACAATTCTGGTTTCCATGTCTCTGATCTCACCTAACTCCCCACACCAGCCTTGTAAAGAAGGTATTATTGTCATCGCTTCAGAGAAGCAGGAAGTCAGAGAAGTCAGAGGTCTCATAGCCAGGCTGCTGGATTCTGAAACCCGGCAGCCTCGCAAGGACATGGCCCAAGTGCATCTGTCAATGCAATTCACTCAATCAATACATATTTCTTGAGTATCTACTAGGTTCCAGGGCCTGGCAAATTAACTTTTTTTTTTTTTTTGACAGGCAGAGTTAGAGAGAGAGAGAGAGAGAGAGGCAGAGAGAAAGGTCCTCCTTCCATTGGTTCACTCCCCTAATGGCCGCCACGGCTGGCACTGCACCGATCCAAAGCCAGGAGCCAGGTGCTTCCTCCCAGTCTCCCATGTGGGTACAGGGACCCAAGCACTTGGGCCATCCTCCACTGCCCTCCCAGGCCACTGCAGAGAGCTGGACTGGAAGAGGAGCAACCGGGACTAGTACCCGGCACCCCAACCAGGACTAGAACCCGGGGTGCTGGTGCCGCAGGTGGAGGATTAGCCAAGTAAGCCACGGCGCCAGCCAGCAAATTAACTTTAAACTTGTATCTTGGCATAGCAGCCTCTTTACAATGGGTCCTCTGGCTCCAGCCCACTTTTCAACCCCAGCTCCTGAATTCCTTCTGTTTACTGCCACCATTCAGTTCTCCTTGTCTGACACTCTTTGTGTCCCACCCAGCTCCCTTGGCCTCTCTTAAATTTCTGCTGAGCTGCAGCGGACAGTTCCCGACTGCTGGGATCTCCCCTTAAGCACCTACCCCCACTACTGTCTATTCTACTTGATGGCTTTTTTCAAAGTCACAGATCTCAAGAGCAGCCCAGATGGAAGAAGCTTCCACAGAGGACGGCAGCACCCCCAGGGACATGCTTTCACCATGAAAACACATCTTGGTTGATCAGTACCCCCAGCTCCTTTCTTTGGAGGGACTTTTGGGGCCCACATTCAACGGCTGATCTCCAGCAAGAGTGAGCCCCAGTTGCCCTCAGTGGTAAGTGGGAACCAATCAAGAACAAGCTCTTCAGGGGAGGACGGTTGTCCTGGCAGTTACGGCCAGGTATTAGAAGTCTGGGTCCCACATAGGTGTGCCTGAATCTGATCCCCGTTCAGCTCCTGAATCAGCTTCCTGCTAAAGCAGACCCTGGGAGGCAGCAGTGACGGCTTTTGTAGTTGGATGTCTGCCAGCCACGTGGGAGGCTTGGATTGTGTTCCTGGCTCTCATCCTCAGCCCAGCCCAGTCTCAGGCATTAAAGGCATTGTGGAGTGAACTGGTAGATGGAGGTGCTCTTCCTCTCTCTCTCTCTCTTTCTCATAAGCTTTTTTCAAAGATTTATTTTATTTATTTGAAAGACAGAATTACAGCGAAAGGTAGAGAGAGAGAGAGAGAGAGAGAGAGAGAGATCTTCAATCCTCACTGGCTCACTCCCCCAAATGGCTGCAATGGCTGGAACTGAGCCAATCCAAAGCCAGGAGCCTCCTCTGGATCTTCCATCTTCCAAGGACTTGGGCCATCTTCCTCTGCTTTCCCAGCCACATCAGCAGGAAGCTGGATCAGAAGTGGAGCAGCTGAGACTCAAACCAGCACCCATATGGGATGCAGGGACTGCAGGCAGTGGCCTCACCCAAAACATCACAGCACTGTGCCCCCTTCACCTCATCTTTAAGCAGAGCCATCCTCATCCAGCAGGTGGCGTGGGAAGACACCTTTGAAGTTATGCTGCCAAGAGTCCTACCTTTGAAATAATGCCTTTGGATTAACAAGCAGCCTCGATGGAAATACAGAATGTGGTACCGGTCAGGCACACGTCAGTGTGAATTGCCTCCTTCCTCACTTTCTTCCTGGTTTACTGAGTTTGGTATGAAAAGGTTAGGAGATCAGAAGGGGCAAGGAAATGAAACAGAGTGTAGCCAGTACCTGGGAGGAGCTGGGCTGGGGTGAGGCCTGCCCTGGGTGCTGAAGGTGTGCACAGAGGAAAAAAAGTCCCGCCCTCTGAGCTCTCTGGAGCACACTTGGCCTTACTGCAAACTCGAATGACCTGGGAGAACAATTCCACCTATTCAAGCTTGGGCTTCCCCCAACATCAGTGCACCCAGAACCTCAGAAATTAGGGCCCTACTTCAGTATTTTATTATTTCTTGTTTTATTGAGGTGTCATGCCATAAAATTCATTTGGTTTAAGGGTAGATAGATTCTGATCACTGCCAAAGTCATGTGATCCGAGCTGGCACCATGGCACAAGGGGTTAAAGCCCTGGCCTGCAGCACCAGCATCCATATGGGCACCAGTTTGAGTCCCGGCTGCTCCACTTTCAATCCAGCTCTCTGCTGTGGCCTGGGAAGATGGCCCAAGTGCTTGGGCCCCTGCACCCGTGTGGGAGACCGGAAGAAGCTCCTGGATCTTGGCTTTAGATTGTCCCAGCTCAGGCTGTTGTGGCCATTTGGGGAGTGAACCAGTGGATGGAAGATACCCTGCCCCCTCTCTCTGTAACTCTTTCAAATAAATAAATCTTTTTTTTAAACTCATGTGATCTCCACAACCACCAAGATGTAGAATGTTTTTATCCCAGCAAGAAGTTCCTGCTGCCCCTCCGTAGCCAGTCTGTTACCCTGACTCCCAGCCCCGGCTGGGGATCATTTTCTACAACTTCGTCACTATATTTGTGTCTTTTCTATAGGTTTATATGAATGTGTGTAATGTTTAGTGTGTGGCAGTA